GTGGTGGAGTCCTGGGCTGGAAGTTTATTTGGGACCGGTGCTTGTCCTCCTGTACAGTCAGAAGCCGGGGGCGGGGGCGGCTGCGAAGAAAAGGTCGCTGCTGCTGCTTCTGACACCCTGAAAGAGTGCGATCAGGTCAGCCGCGGAGGATGAGGGTTGGCTAACCCTTCTGGGGAGCATCCAGTTCTTGAGGACTTACCTGCTTCAACACTACGGAAGCCCATTCAAGTGAACTGCCTCCCTCGGACGGTTACTTTTTCGGCACCCATCTGCGCTTGGGAGATAGCGGCTCCCCCATTCTTTGGCTCTAAAACGGTACTCCGGTGCGAAAGCTGGCCCTCTCACCTGGGAACTCTCCAGAAGTGTAGGATTCCAACTACCGCCTCCGTAGCCATTGCCATTTTGACCGGGGTGATGGGAGTTGTAGTCCAGGGCATCTGGGGGACTGCCGGGTTGGGGAAGCCTTTTCTGTAGATTTCCAACCCCTGGAAGCAGCTGTCCCTGGTAAAGGTTTCAACCCAGCAGAGAAAACGAGAGATGGACGCCACCTTGTGAAAGAGGTGTGAATATAAGTGCGTGAAGCGCATGCAGGACAGTTGGTGAGCCTGAACAGCGATTGGAGAAAGGGGGAGGGCTGGTGTCCATCCCGTGTTTTTTTTTAAAGCCGCGTGAAGAAGGGAAAGGAAAGCGAGCTTCCTTGGCTCGCCACCCCCTCCTCGGCTTCTGCTGAACTGTGTGTGCTCTGGTCTTGGGGAAGGAAGGGGGTGCCTGAGAGAGTTTATTTTTGTCTCCTGCCTGCTGCTCCTGCTGCTGGGGCTTGCTTGGAGCCTACATCCAGCGGGGGCTGGTGGGGACTGGTTGGAAGATGCTTGAATTCTGTCGGTGAAGCTGCAGCCCTTCTCCTCAGCCGCCTTACTTTCTGGCTGGGAGGGAGGAGGAGGAGGAGGGGAAAACACCAGAACCTGGGCTGGTTTGCATTAGCTATCTATAGCCGCAGTGTTAAGTTCTCTCCCCCCACCCTCTTTTCTTCTTGTGTGTGAATGATCAGTTGGGTCCTGTCTCTCCCAGCCAGGTACATTCCTGTCCTGGGGTGAAAAACTGCTCAGAATGTACAATAAGCAACAGGGAGCTCCGTTCTCACCACTGTGCAGCAGGGAGGTTCCTTTTAAACCTCTGTGATGTGAAGCCCGCACCTCTCCATCACTCCCTCTGCTGCCTGTGTGTGGGCTGCATTTTTAGTGTCTCAGTATCTCTGTGCTCATTTCTTCCTTTTGCACAGGACCTGTTCTTTCTTGGGAGGGTGGTCTTAAAAAAAAAGAAAAGAGACACAACCCCTTGCTGCCCCACACACCAAGCCCCAAGCCATTCTCTCCCCCCCAAAAAAACACACCCCCTCGCTCTCAGTAATTGCTGATCCCAAATTTCCCTTCTGTCATATTAGGAAGTGAGCCGCGTTGTTTGTCATGCTGAATCATAGCATTGCCTTTCAGAGTGTCTCATCTCACAGCAAAATTCTTTTTCTCTCTTCCTCCATCCCCTCCTCCCCTCCAACAGTTGTGAAGGCTTCTATTTTCTCCACTTCCCCCCAGCAAGGAATGCTGTGACTGTGGATGGTCCAGAACGCTGCCCGAGGAAGGAGAGCCAGCGCCAGCCCTGGGCTAAAATAACCAGACTGGAAAAGAGCAAGGAAGGGAGGGGGAAGCAAAACACAGAGAAGAAAACAGCTACAGAACACACATCCCCTCACAACATCTTCACACATTGCCGTGCCTTGTTGAGAAATACAGCTATATAAGTCCACACACAGAAACCACACAGTTTATCTGTTTTCCTTTGCCACCATGTGTCATCGTCTTTGGCAGAATTAAGAAGCAGCCACTGGCATTTCGGCCTGAAAAAGGGACGCATGAGGAGGAAGAAGAGCCAGCAAACCTCAGAATCAGTCTCCAGACATCTGTCCTATTTCTGCAGTAGCAACGTTGTAAAGTAGACAAGAGATTTTAAAAAAAAGGTGTGAGTGGGAAGAAAAAAGGAACTTCTAGGGGATTCTCCTACTTTTTTTTTTTTTTTTGAAAAAAAAAAAATCAGAGAGAGAGAGTGCCGCACACAGATTTTTCTCTTCTCAATATTGCACACGGACATTCACTTGCACGGACACCAACCATGATGTTTCGAGACCAGGTTGGAGTGCTGGCAGGTTGGTTCAAAGGCTGGAACGAGTGTGAACAGACGGTCGCTTTGCTTTCCTTACTGAAGCGAGTCAGTCGGAGTCAGGCCCGTTTCCTTCAGCTCTGCCTCGAGCATTCCCTGGCTGACTGCACAGAACTGCACGTTCTGGAAAATGAAGCCAACAGCCCTGGTGAGTTCCCCGCCTTGTCTCCTCTTTCTCCTCTCCTCCCCTCCCCTTTGGTGCATCCAATCCATTTTGAATGCCACATTGTTCTCTGATGTGTATGAGGATGGTGCATAGTCATATTTGAAAAGTGTTGTTGTTTTTTTTGTTTGGATGCCGTATAGAAATCACTCTTCCGAAACAACACTCTGAACAGCAACAACTGGAAGCAACTTCCTGATGATACACTTTTTTTCCTGCAAGCTCTTTCAGCATGGGCTTTGCTGTAACTTGGGTAGCATGAATGATTGTAAATTTCTTTTTCTTCCCTCCCATAAAACCTCCTGTCAGATAACTAAGTCAGGTCACGTAGAGTCTGGATTTCCTAGGCTTTTTTTGGGCAATAGGATTTCCTCTGTCTTTCAGCAGTGTGCAGAAGAAACCTAATGTAACCTTATGAAGGATGTTTAATAATTCATGCCTTTGCTGCTCTGTGTGTGTGCATGTGTGCTCGCATATATGTATTTATATCACACACATACATCAGTTTTAGCAATTCTGGGAAGCCCATTCTTTTATAAGAACTCGTGATTGATATGTTTTTCAGCAAAAACTTCTAGTAGTTGTTTGTGGCTTTGCCAATATGTTGAAATATTCATTATTTTACTGTAGAAAATATGTGCATATTTAAATTGATATTTTAGTTTTTTTATGTTGCTATTTTCCCTATGAGTAAGGATTAAATTATTGGAGTAGCTGGGTAGCAAACCCATGATATGCATTGAAAAAGAATTAAGTGTGCATCTTGCATGTGTTAGAGCAGAGATGGAGGAAACTGGTTTTTAGAAGTGATTGGACCATAACTGCCATCATTCTCACCGCTTTCCACGCTGGCTGAGACTAAAAGGGCTAGAAGTCCAACAGCGCTGGACGACTACAAATTGTTTGTCCTGTATGTAAGAGCAAGAAAAAAACGTCATTTTTCTCAACATTGCAAAAAAGTCTGGCATTCATATGTAAAGTTTTTTTTAAGTTCTATGGAGCCACCATTGCAAAATCCTTGTGCGGATACTGACAAAAGAGTTAACAAGACGTGACATTTATGTAATGTATTTCATATTTTTCTTCACATATATTATTCTAATATTTTTTGTCAACCCTGTTAAGTATTTCCATATTATTGTCTCCTTATTGTCAAAGGTGAAGGGTTAGCTTAGGAGAGAATGGTAATTATTGGCTGGTTCACATACGCATACAGCTATAATGTGATTTATTTGGTACTGGCCTAACATGTTATGCCAACCCAGCTATTGTGAGTAGAAAATGAGGGTTTATAGTGATTTGTGTTGTGCACTCCTAACTAGTCCTGCTGCATTTATTAAACCATGGCTGAGGAAAGCACAGCTGCTAAGAATTTGGGGTTTATGACCAAGAGAAGGTTTGAACTGGGGGCTTTGCAGCACATGCACTTAAACCTCTTTTTATATAGGCCTTGTGATAGGCTAAGCCAATGTTTTCCAACCTTGGCAACTTTAAGACATGTGCACTTCAATTCCCAGCATGCTGGCTGGGGAATTCTGGGAGTTGAAGTCCACACGTCTTAAAGGTGCCAAGGTTGAGAAACACTGGGCTAAACAGTGAAGCAGTTCAAGAATGATAACATCTCTGTGCAAAAGGTGTCAATGAAAACATTATACTGATCTAAATACATACACACACACACACACACACACACACCTTGCCATATAATACTACCATATTATATATTGCAGTGCATTGTAATACTAACATATTCAGAGTATTAAAGTCCGCAGTCTTGTATACCAGCTTTCCCCAGTCTGGCACCTTTCAGATGTTTTGGGACTGCAATTAAGGAATTTTGGAAGCTTTGTTGAAAAAGAGTGCCAGATTAGAAGGACTGCTGTACACTTATTTTTGAGATCACATATCTGTTTGAGGTTAGGCAGATTGCAAACAGAGAGAGGGGCAGGATCTTTTCTGAGATAATGCCCAGTGTGTGGAATTATTGTTAGCAAATAAAACTTACTTATTTTTAAAGAATTTTTAGAGTGATGTTTGAAGATAGAGTTTTTATTTTATACTTTGCCTAGTTTGTGTAAACTGTGTTGGAAGCAATGCTGAGAGGTAGCACACTTTTCTTATATAAATAAAATGAGCCTGATTAAACTCAGCGGAGCTAACTTTTGAGTAGACCTTCATAAGATTGTGAGTAGCAAACTGAGAAGTCTCTCATTCAAACTTTATGTCTACCTTGGATTTATTAGGCAAGCCACACTCTTAGTCTTAGATTTCCCACCTGAAATAAGGAATGGTGATTTATCTTCTTGGATTGTGGTAAGCAAAAAAATGAATTGGGATCATGTGTGCAAATGCTTGGCGTGCGCAAGTGCAGTACACTGCATGGGAGTGGAATCAGACTGGGCTGACGCCCTGGTTCATTCCATTGCTCCTCCCCTGAATTGAATGATGTAATTGGTTTGGACCAACCCCCATCTTTAGGAGTGCCATCCAGCTCCCAGGGAAGAGCAGCTTCAAAGAGCCAGGAATACCGCCTTCCCCAAAAGGCCCTTAGCAATGGCACCTAGGGAATTTTCAGGGGGAAAGGTGCAGGACACCTGGAGTAGGACTGCTTTGTTCTGGTGTTCCAGCCAAAATACCACAAATGTTTCTCTAGTTGATGAGGGAGAGGTAGGAGGAGAGGTGGCCTTTGGTTGGAAGCCAAAGGCCCAAGTTTCCCCAACTCTGTTTAATATAAAAGCTCTAATACAGTTAGAAAAAAAATGCATCACTGATTTCAGAAGTATGTTACAGTTCTTTATTCTTTTCAAAACAACTATAACAACTGAGAATGCCTTCTTATGAGCACTTAGAGTTCAGGTATGCAAAATGCAGCTGAGTCATGGGGGAGAAAGCTTATGGTGTTGATGATGATTTCAGGTAGAGGTTCAGATAATAGAGATTCAAGCCTTTTCAATGCATTCTCACACTGGTCTTTTTTTGGAATGAACTTCTTCATTTTTGATTTAGTTTTTTTTATCATTTGTAAGACTGACCAGGGTTGACCATAAGAACTGAAAAAATTGGGAAGATGAGCAATAAAATGCTCTGTTGGAGACAGATGAACCTGGGAAGCTATGATATAGGTCATTTCCTGGTTTTTGTTCTGGTATCAGTGGTGAATATTTGTTGGAAGCAAAGTTCATCTATGCACACTCAAAGGTCTTTTTGTTCATTGATATGCTCTGAGGTTTTGTCCTTCTAAACATTGTGGATAGACTGTATTTTCGAATCTATAGATTCCCATCCTCATATATACAGTTGTACTATAAATTAAATGTTTTTACAGTAGGGTAAGAAAAGCTCTATTAAATGTAGCTTCCTTGGGCAAAAATCACAAAGTAAAAAATTCTGAACATATTCTCTGCTGCTGCTGCTGCTTCTTCTTTTTTTTTTTTTTTACAAAATTCTGCAATTCCAACCAACCATAATATCCTGGGTGATATTGAACAAGTAGCCCACTGCCGACAGAAGACTTCCATTAGTAGCTGGAGGTAATTCTGTTTCCCCTCAAATCTGCTTTGGAATGGGAGAGAGGGGAAGGAAATTTCCACTGCCTGAGTAAATAGGAGTTTGGGGAAAGATACATTAGGCAATTGGATTTGGTTTGCTTTGCTATTGACATGGGTTTGAGCTAGATCAAGTAGCGTGTCAAGAGATTAAGAAGCCGGACTATGTGGCTACATTTGTTCTCAAGGGCTTAAAGAGCTCTTGCTGCTACCCTTGTTTGCAAGTAATGCTATGTATGTATCTAATGTAGTCTAATGTATGTATATGTATAATTGCCATCTATGAAATGCTGGGCATACAATGCTATTCCTGGAATATTTGAATATATTAGTTGACCTCTGTGTCTGCATTATGTGTTTGTTTACACTCAAACTTTATCAAAGTAATTGCCTTAACTGTTCCTTGTGAATGAAGAACTGTAGTCTGCTAATAGATTATTTGGTAAATTTTGTGTGCAGAGATCCAGATTTGGAGCATTCTGTGTTGTTGCAGGTTTTTTTGTCCTTTATTTGTGCAGCTGCCCTTTGCAGATGATGTGCAATCCAGAGAAGAGATGTATTTGGTTTAAGGTGTGTACAAGTGGGTCTGTGTGTTAATGCACGCTCCAATTCACATTTTGCCCTTCAAATTTGGATCTGTTGCACAGCTGTACCATTTGACTCCATTATCATTTGCAGAATAAAAATCCACTTTATTATTTATTACCAGTTTTTTAAAGAAAATGAATCAGTTTATTGCTGCCCGTGAATGAAACATTTACACCCCACCGCTAACACATGTCTTGTTAGGGGAAGGGGAAGATGGTGCTGAAAATGTGTAGTCCCCCCCCCTTCCCATTTTGTCCAGTCTCAGTCTAATTTTGAACAGAGCCCCCAGTGTTCATTGTGGAAGAGAATGGTGAGTGTTCTTCCAGATCACATGAGAACACAAGGCTTGCAGGGTTTGGGGGCAGCTGTTGCTCAGGCCATTTGATGGTAGCTTCCTGCTGAATTTTGCAAGGCATAGAAAGCTACTCTGAAATTTGTTTTTAGGAAATCACTTCAGGGCTCCATTCCAAGGCAGCGAGGTTTCTCTGTTTGAGTTTGTGGTAGTAAACCCTGCTGGGAATTAGGCTGTTTCCTTATATAGTCTGTGTGAGGAACAGTGTTGTGGTGTGTTTCATGAATGCCCCACACTGCATAAAAGAGTTTAAAGTGATCTAATCTTATGAATTTAGGTAAGAAAGCGAAGCATGATTAAGAATAAATTATCTGGTGTGAGAGCACTGGGGACCGAGGAGTTGAAGGGTGGATGAATGGGCTGTTCTCTCTCTTAACTGCTTCATAGCTAGAGCTTGCAATTCTTTAGCTACAATGGAGAGACTTAGCATATGGGATTGCACACTCACTTCTCATGCACAACATTCCCATCCACCTTAACTTTGGTTAAACATGATGTGA